TTGGTGGGCATCCCGAAAAGGTTATTAATAATGCCGCTTCTTCGATTTTCTCCTTACCCTTTAAGGAGTGAAATTGTTTTTTGTTCGGCTAATGAAAAAGGACCAGGATGAGTCTGATCCTTCGGCCAGAACTGTGGCCACATTTCGAACTAGAATTGTGGTCAAGTTGTCATTTCTCTGAATGCACCTTTGGCCTCTCTTGTCCTTTATTGGGTAAGCACGAACAACTCGTCTGTTGCCAAACAGTTTTGCGGTTTCCGTTCAGATGCTCAAAAATACTAGGAATTCTGCATAAAAACGCATTCACAAATCGGTTTATGGCCTGCTCTAAGTCATAAGTCCGATGAGCAAACTTTGTGACAATGGCCGAAAGGCAGTAAACATCAGTTCAGTCACATTGTGAATGGTGAATAGGTGAGGAAAGTGAAGAAAAGCCGGCGGACAAAGTTGGTTCAGCAAAGTTGGCCGAAAAACACAAAAAAACAAATCCTTTTATCACTTTAATGTGTGTGATGGATGCGGTTTGTGGGCATATGAATTTTTTAGATTTTAAAAATAAATAGAAAACTTATTTTTTAAATTGATATACATTTTTTTGACTTTTTAAAAATTAAATGTTGAATTTTTCTAAAATAATTGACTATGCCATTAATATTTTAGTGATGGTATAATATTTCCTCTTAAATTAAAGACACTCAACTTAATCGAAATCGAACCTGTTTCGCTAGCTATCTTTATTACCCCAAGAGGATTTTGTCCATAAAAAACGTTGACCATCTCCGCTGTCATAATTGAATAATAAACGTTGCGCATCCCGAAACTAAATTTCAAGCTGGCATTTTGATGCACGCTGATGCAATCTTACCCAGTACTCAAAAATGTTATGGAGGTAGAATGGGTTGTTTTAGTGGGGCTTTAAGTGATGAACAAGTTTTTTGGTGTAAATTCCCCCATTAAATTCTATTAAGCTAAGATTTTTATGTGTCTAAACTTTCTAATAATTCCTTTAAGTCTTCCATTTAATAACAGGTATTTCGGTGTCGATCCCACACTCGTGTCACCTCCTCTTTTTTCCGTTTAAGTGCACGGTTCACTTGGCTGGAAACCTTTTACCAATAGCTCTGCCTCTGCCTGCTCTACCTGCGCATCTATTCCGCCATTCGTGAGCTGGCTTTTTTGTTAGATTTTTTGCCTTTTTGCCAAAAGCTTTTAGCTGGACGCATCGCAGCCGACGGAGCGTGGCGACGTCGTCATCATGTCGCTGCATCAAACGACATTTAGCTTGCGCATAAAGTTCACATCATTGCCGAGTTGTTTGCCATGTTAACTTTATTAGTGTGCACGGCTCCTGCTCCTGGATCCCACATTCCACACCCCGCATCCTGGATGTCCTGCTCCCTCGGAGAGTGCTTCATTTGCGTTATTGATACGCCAGCCTGCTGTATTTCATTAGCCGAGCGCCAAACGCCGGCTTGGATCGGCAAGTTTCCTTTAGCTGCCGTGAAATGCAATTTGCCCGCAGCCAGCGCATGTGGAATCGTAAAAATTATAATGAAGTTGCATGTCATAAGCTGGTTTTCGGTTTTATTGACTACCAAAAATTGATAATTTTAACAAAATGCTTTGAAGTGACTTATGAACCATCCTATATTACCCAAAACACAAAACCTTATTTTCAACCAAAAAATTTCAATCATTTTTTACAAAATATTGTAAGAAATTAAACGAAATATTGTGTCTACTTTAATTTTACCTTACCTTTTTTACTTTGTAAATAAAAATATTACTCAGGCAATTACCCTGCCAAATCGACACTCTGACTAATGCCCCGTATGTATTATTTATGAGTGACTAAGGACCACATTCTTCCATTTATTACCCCAACTCACAACCCTTGCACTCCTCGAGTGGCGGGCTTGCCATAAAAAAGTACATATGTAGCGAAGGTAATAATAAAGCCACGTAAATCGCACGCCATATTGGCCCCAGTCCATATCCATAGACAGATGTCAATCACGTGCCCTGCAGTTTGTTCTGTGGAAATGGTGGTAAAAAAAAGGAAACATAACCGGGAGGTTTGCAAGGGGTAAGCTAGCTAAACTGTGGCGGTGGTGAAGTTCACTCAACGCGGCTAAGGTTGATCTCAAAGCGCATTTCTGGTAATGGAAAAGGAACTGCTCAAAGCTCAAAGCGAAAGCAAACAGCAGAGGAGGTTCCTCCTGGCATTTTTGCATTTCCGATCGGGGCGCTTGATTGATTTTTTTCACCCTGCCTGCCTGGCATATCGCGGAATAATGGAGCTCCTATAAACCGCCCAACCACCCACTTCAGATTGGGCTGCGGGGCACTTGGCAGGCCGCACTTAGCTGCCGTTGCCGTTGTCGCCGTCGTTTTGTTTGATAACATCGTCTAGCAACGTGTCTGGCCACCCGTGTGACGTAAGCCCAGCACTTTTCCAGGACCCCCCACCCACTACTCACCCAGGAACCACCCACTTCACTACCCACCCACTCATGCATGCATTGTGAACTCCAGCGTTGTCGCCTTTGGCATAATCAGTTGCAAAAATTTGACACGCCGTCGAGTAAAACGGGGCAAAAAGCGCGTTCGCCATTTTTCCTACGCCATTTTCCTCACTCACACACACACACTCACATGGGATGTAGTTGTAAATGTGTGTGTGCTTTATTTGCATATCTGTTTTTGATTTTTGTCGCCGGTGGCGTCTATTCAATTTGACGTGCCGCTCGGCTGCTCAGCAGCAGCCCAATGAAATCAATAAATCTGCTCCACCGTTTGGATCCAATTTATCACTTTGCAGCAGGGGTTTTCCTTTCACCCCAGCACTTTCCCCATTTTCCACTTTCCCCACTTTTCCGTGTGCAGTGCCACGCCCACAGACATGCGGCTGAAGCTTATCCGCGAAACGATGTGCATACAACTTTATTATTAGGGCAACGCGGCGTATGAGTGATGTGGGTTGGAGGGGGGGAGCGGCATTAATGGGCTGGCAATTTCTTATGCCCACCTGAATAATGGCAAAATGGCGCAACGAACGAACGTCGGTGAAACGTATGCCTCAGTCAATAATGAAATTTAGCAAAATATCCTCGCGCACAAAAGAATCGCGAGTCCTGCGGCGTTGAATTTTCCGAATTTTTTCGACGGGGGAAGCTTTGCATATTTTACGGCGCCATCGAGCCATGTGCCGAAATGTTTTGTGCGCGCTTAAATTGCGGAAGTGATAAACAGGCGGCTCCGGTCCAGGAAGCATTTTAATATTTCAAGTTTTACTCAAGGCAGCAGCAGCGGCAGAAGATGCTTTGTGCTTTGCGAGCACAGCAAAAGCAAGACAATAAAATAAAATCAAGAGAAGAGAAACACTGGGTTTTTGGTTTATTTTTTTTACATTAAATATATTTAGATGGTTTTTCTGTCAAAATTGTTTTCTGGTTTTCCATGGGCGGCGACCTCAAAATGGCGTTGGGACTTTAAGAGGGGGCTGAGGCTACAGCGAAAAGTAAAAGTTAAACAAAATATTGCAGTTGGAATGTGTTCTGGTTTGAGGCCTTTTTTTCTTATTTTTTTTTGTGTAGTGCCACGCCCTCTCTTTGCCATCCACACGCCTTAATGATTCCCCTTGCATTCATGGTCTCTTATTTTTTTGTGGGTTGGGGTTGACATTTCGGTTTCGGTTTCAATTTAGCAAACTTCTTACATCAAGTACATTTATATTTCGGTTATAATTATTTGCTTCTTGCTTGCCGTTCGCTCTGTGTACATTTAAGTTAAAATAATTAAGTAAGCTACATTTAGTTGTTAATATTTAAAAATTACTTTACTCGCTGCCTACTTCCATGCGCTGCTTAGCTACAGTTACAAAATAGAGGAAATACAAATGATGTGAAAATGGCAAACAAAACAACCAAACATTTATAATATCTTAGGCAACAAGAGGAACGCAAAATCTTTGGTTAAAATTTCTCAATTCTTAAGGCTAAACATTAATTTAAATCATTAATTTATTACAAGCATTTAATGCATTAGACAGAGTGGACAGAAATTGAATTGAATTTCGCCCGACTCCTTGAGGCAACTGAAAATCCCTTCACAATCTCTGGCATAGTAACTTCGTGACAATCGAGAAACGAACTGAGTGTAAAGTGGCTGAGTATCAACAATATAATGAAATTAGTGCCCTGCTTAGATAGAAGTTTTCTTAGATTTCACTGTTATTTTCTTCATTTTCATTTTCACATTTATAATTCTTGGTTTTTTTGGGTTTTTTGTGTTTAAGTTCTTAGTGGCTAATCAAAACACTAAATACATTTAGCTTATATCCATTTACTTAAAATAGTTTTGTGTTTTCTGTTTTGCTCACGTCTATTTCATTATTTCGCTTGTCTCAAGTGCTTTGAGTTCGCCTCGCCTTTATTTTTCCCGACACTTTTCCGCGTTTTCCTCCCAGCTTTTCCTGCTGTTCGCTTTCACTTCACTTATCTGCTGATTGTCCACTAAAACTATGCTTGCTCCTTATGCTCGGCGCTCTACTTTTCTGGCTTTCCCTTTCTTTCCGGGGATTTCTGTGTGTAAGCTGTTGCCCGTTTTTTTACACAATAAATTTGCATTTGGTTTTTCGCTTACTTTAAACTTCTCTTTGTATATGAATTATTAAACACATTAATCAAACAGTATTTTTTTTTAGTTTTTTCTATTTTTTGTTGGTAAATCATAGTTTTGTGCATAATTAAATACGTAATAAATTGCCAAATAAAGTGTAATATGCATCCGCCGTAATTTGAATGCACGAATCGTCGGCTTTGGTTTTTTGGTTTTTCTCTAAAAGTGACATTACCCTTTCCCCCAGCTTGCGCATTCATTACAATACAATTAAACATACAGTATTTTCCTTTTTTCCATATAAATATTTTGTATATATTAGCATAATTTACCTTTATATATTCAGTCTTAAGCTACAAAAATCGTTATGCATATTTCTGTTTTGGTTTTTTGTATTATTATTTTATCCTCTTTATGCCTTTGTTTGCTATAATTTGAATCTATTCAAATAAGTTATATAAATTCGCAATGTATTCATATTTTTATTTCTTGTTTTTTACGTTTACATTTTCTGGTGCGGCGAAAGTAGGAGAAAAGCAGAAGAGCGTTTTTCCCGTGGCGAAAAACTCTATTTATCCGTGGGGTTTTTGTGGGGGAAATTCAGGCGACGGTTGTAGAGGGTAGCAAATAGTCTTACAAACTAAAAAGCAGACTTAAAATCTAAAGAGAACTGCGGGGTGGCCGGGAATATTACGTTTACCTATTACATTTATCATTTATCGACTATCTGCTATCGTCTATTTGCCTATCGACTATCGGCTATCGTTGCAACTTTCAGCGATTGTGTGTCATTTTCTGCGTTTGCTTTTGCGTTTATCTTACAGGCATGCCTCATTTTAGTGGTTTTTTGGCCAGCTCTGTCTGTCCACCTAAGACGTTTAGCGCTTTCCAAGTTTTACTGTAGTATGTACCTTGCTCAAGTAAACCAAATGTGTCACTATTGCTAACCGTTTAAACTAATTCTATGTAGTAGAGTGTAGTGTGGTAGTCGTCATCCTGCGGTTGAGTAGAGTATCTCTTGTTTTAAATGAAACGCCAGTTTGCTCGGAGGTTCTCTTTTTGGGTTCGTTTTGGGCTTTGTAGGTTTCTATATCTCATTTTTCAATCTGAATCTGAATCTGCTGCTGAAGTTGTTGGTGAAAAGTCGAGAGTCTATCATTACAGCTATCAGCTAGGTTTATAGTAGTAAATTTATCGAATTTCGTTACCCCTTTTTACATATTTACAGGACTCTGGTAGCTGGTATCTTTCGTGTGTATTTATCGTGTGTTGAAGCTCGTTTCCCAAGGGCACCACATCTCCAAGACAGTATGTACAATGTAGAAAAGAGCTCGAAAAATTATCGAAATTTCGATTAATTTTTGATATTTTATATTTTTCTCCATTGAAACATCTATATATCGAAAATATCGATTGTTTTCAAGCTCTAATGTAGAACCAAACGTTAGGGTCACCATTTAGGCGATGGAGTATTCAACCCCGGCTGAGTGTTAGTGTGAGAAGTAGGGTTACCATGATCATACCGATACCCTGGAATAATCGATCTGCTCCTGCCGTCGACATATCCTGACCCACATTGCTGCGCACATCCATGAGATCTCGGGACAGGGGCAGCTCGGTGGGATCGCTCAGTTCATCGTGGCAGGGCAGCATTTCCGGTTTCAGCAGGAACAACTTGATGTAGATGGCGTTCTTCTTGCCCAGCATATCCAGGGCATCGCCGGACGCCGAGTGAGACGGCGTCATCAGGACATCCACATCGTTGTGATTGCTACCCACGACCACGGGTGAACCGGCTCCATAGAAACCCTGCTTGTGCAGGCTGAGATTGTCATCGAAATCCAAGCCATGGCCCAGGGACATTCCTCCATTGCTGTTGTTATCATCGTAGTAATCGTATCGCTTGTGAGTAGGAGCCACTGCCGCCAGGTCCTTCGACTTAAGATCCTCCTGCTGGCGCTTCCTCCTCTTCGATTCCACCACATTCTCGGCAAACTGCCGTTGTCCTCGCAACGCCTGCCGGGATCTGCTCGCTGACAAATGCTTCCTGGACTCATCGAGGCTGGTCAGACCACTGTAGCTGCTGCCCACCACACTGTTGCCCACGCCGCCCATGCTGGCGCTATTGCTGCCAATCGCCGTGAATCCGCCCACGTTCAGCTCGTCCAGGATGCTCGAGGGCACGGGGTCCACAAAGTGCGACAGTTTGGGGTCCTGCAGCGTGCAGTGCAGCTCCTCCAGCGAGTCACGCAGCTGCAGGTGACGTGTGCGATTTTTCAATTCGAAGATCCACTGCAGACGACAGTCGCAAATGAATTTGTTGTCTGCGGAAGACAGGTGGAAAAGGAGAAAACGAGAGGGGGTTAAATATAACTTTCAGGCTGGCGGGTTTTCACTGAAATTGCTTTTGTCAAATCGTCGCCCGGAAAACCGATTGTCCAAGTCTGAATGCCTGTCCGAATGTCTGTGTGCCCGAATGTCTGAATGCCCAGGTAAGCGAATGATTTCCCCCTCAGCTGCTAAGTGGCCGACTGCAACAATTGGCTGTCATTTGATGGCCGATTGCCACTTCAGCCGAAGGTGCACTAAAAAAATATTTATATTATTCCTAAAAATAAAGTGTTACTAATTTCTATACAACCTATCAAAAAATTGGATGGTAAATTTTTTGAAAGGTTGTATAGAAATAAAGAAAATGGTGTGAGGAGGAATATATTTTTTATGAACCCCAAAATATAGTCCCGTATAAAAACTAATTATGCAATTTGCATTTTTAAAAATGTATTTTTATCCAAAATCAAAAATTAATAGCATCTTTAAAATCAAGATAATACATTTTTTGGAGTTTTCATAAATATGCTTCCAAGTTCTATACAATGTTTTCCTATTCTAAAACTCATATTTCTTGAAGTTCAATAAATATCCTAATATTAAATTTTCAAATATTAAAAGTTTAAATTAATCTTATAATATCAATGTTATATATAACAAGCTTAAATTTATCTTATAAAATCAAGAATATATCTCTGAATTTTCTTAGTGCACGGCTCTAAACTCCGGCTTCAGCTTGGCTGAATCCTGCCAGCCGCTTTAAATGATTTTACCCACGTTTCAGTCCGGAATCGAAGTTGCAGACGGAGTTGGATTAGGAGTAGGAGCAGGAACAGGAGCAGAGGGAGGACCGGGAGCAGGAGTCGGATGTCGATGTCGTTGTCATTGGGGCTGCTCCTCACGTTAAACGCCTCAATGACATTTCCAATTTGGACAGCAGCCTCCTCTTCTCATTCGGGAGCATTCTGGATTGCAGCCGGGGTTTTGACCAGGCCCGTCTGTTGGCCAGCGTATGTCAGTCAGTTGGACAGCCAGCTTCTCCTACTCCAACTCCAAACTTATCCTCCTCTTCCTACTCCAAACCCAACTGACTGTTGTCAATTATTTTGCAGTCCGCCTGGCCATGCGTGGCCCTAATCTGCCCCAGCCTTCCTTCGGAAACCCCTTTCAATTTGCCGTTTGGTTAGAGGACATGGGCTCCAAATTGAGCGGATAAACAAGTGCCAGAGTGGATCTAATCGCCGACAATGGTCTAATGAATAAATCAAATTACGTTTCAATGGGCTTCCTTTCCCGAAGGAAGCTTCGGTCCTGAAAGGCAGCTACCCCCGTGGGTATAATTAGGCCCAAACACTGTGTGACACAGTTTGCCCTGTCAACAAGTCGCATAATTAGCATAAGCGTTACGAAAAATATTGACTAACTGGCAAGCACATACGACATCATTATCAGGAAAAAGGGAGGAGGATAAGTCAGTCAGCCAATTGAGTTGCCATATGAGTTTTCCGGGCCAAAAAGGGAGTCCTTTCCTTTCTTTCTCCTCTCCAAGTGACAATAATAATCCGAGGCATATTTTTGTAGTCCGGCCAAAAACTTGCTGCCCCAAAACGACGACAAAAGGAAACTTTGCTTTGCAAAATAGTTGGCAAATTAGTGAAGGGCTGGGGTGCCGAGAGGGGTGAAGGGGAAAAGCCAGTCAAAAATTCTAATTTTCCATATGAAAGCATGCAAAAACCATAAATAAAGTTAAATATGCACAGCCGGAGGGGAAAAGTGGAGGAAGAGGAGAACTACACTTGGAAGCCGGTCCGGAAAAATGCTGGAAAAATGGCCAACGACTTGGCAACATTTAGCAAGCAAATTACAACAAAATTAACATGATAATGAAGTGACCCCAGCTGGGTGGAAAATGCTGTGGAAAATGCTTAGGAAGTGGGTGAGGATGTGGGTGGGTGGCTTTTGCAGCTGCCAGCTGTTCGCAGCTGATCAAATGACAATGACTTGCCCCCACAGACAACGTTCGTTCGTTCCATAAAAGTGCTTAAAAAAATAGAAATTACAAAAAATACATATAAAATATAAAATGAGGAGGGCGAGTACGATGGCGAGGACACTAGACTGTCGTACTTTGTGTGCCATAAAATACTTTTATATTTTTAATGATACTTGGCCAAAGCGGTAGGAAGTGTTTTGGTCTGCTGCACACACTCCGGCACACACACACACCTCACCCCTCTTTTGGCATGCAATGAACTCCCACTCCCTCAACCCACGACGACCACGCCCCCTTATTGCTATATATGTATATGCAGGGCCAGAGAACTGCGGCTGTTAGTCAACTAGATGACTTTCAACTTTAACAGCTCCGGCTTCTCATCCCTTTTATAAAGCACTGTGAAAAAATACTTATACAAATAATATATTATGTACAGACCACGGCTAGTTTTATAAGTTATTTAACTAGTCCCTTAATTCTAATATCGAACAAATAAAAAAATCAGGAATATATCGTACATAGGAAAAAAAAGTAAAATAATACAAAGCTCAATCCCATGAAAGAAAAAAAATTGGATTTAACAAAATCTTTTTTTATATAAAATAGATTTTAGTAAACGCAATCCTCTTTTATGTGTTCTGATTTATTTTATGACATTTTAAACATCTAAATTTATTTCAAATATCAATTAAGAATCCCTTAGTAGTTTTTTAAGTGCATGATGACGCTTTAGCTTTTCTTTCATTTCGGGTTGGAAATTTGGTGAAGGGGGCCAGGAAACTGTCGGAAACGTTTTTACGGTTAGCAAAGGACATTTACATACACACTGACAACTGGCACACACACAGTGGGAGGACCTGCTCCACATGCACACACATGCGTCTGTGTACATTAAATTTTATTATTGTCATTTTCATGGCGTCGTCGGTCGGTTGGATTCGGACTGGGACTCGAACTCGGACCCCTTTTCCTTGCCATTTTCCCGCCCGTAACTTTTCGGTCAGCTCTATTTGCATAAGTTCAGTGAGTGTGTGTGTCTGTATGTGGTGCAGCCAAATTAGACTCCAACTTTGTTTGGTCAGTTTTAATGGCAATGTGTCTGTGAGGCATTTCATGTGTTGAAACATATTCATAATTAGTTGTCAGTTCGGAGCGGTTCGTTTCGGAGACAGGAGAATATGTGGACTGGACTCCTTTGATTGGCTTTGTTTGCACAAGATGTTTGGCTCTTTAAAGGATATTATTTTACACTGGCTAAAATAGCAGCAATCCCTCATCATGATGACTCCTGACAGCCTCTGTTTCCTGTTCCTTTTTTGGGCGTGCGAACCCTCTAAATGGCCTTTCATTAACATTTATTTTAAATTTAATACACTAAAACTGAAGACCCCGAAAAAAGTTTCAAAAGGAAAGGCAAAAATTTGCTTTAATTGGTTGGTTTTAGGTGCCGGTACCCCGCATTTCCCGACTACCTTCCCTACATATATTGAAAAGCGCAAAGAAATGTTCTCCCCTTTTTTTCCCCCTTTTTTTGGTTGAGGGGTGGAAATATCAACACAAACGCCCCCAAATCAGCACAGCTGCTGGCCTACTTTTAAGGCCTTTGTTTCACTCTGGACTACGGTTTTTCGGACTCCTCTTTTTAAAATCCTCCCCTCCACTCCACCTCATCGTCGGGGTCACCAGGAATCCATGAATGCCGCGCTGCTTTGTTTGAAATCAGCTCATTTTTCGGCGGCCTGGCCAACTGGCCAACACCGGGCTTTTGGCCAACTGGGAAAACTGGTAGCTGTAGTTGGTAGTAACCAGTTACCAGGAGCTGGCTTCGTTTGCGGTGCTCGGGTTTGGACCGTGGACCGCCTTTGGCTGCCACCAGGGGACAGCACGCACAGTTGCCAGTTACCAAGTTGCGAGGGGGCGGTTGAGGTCAAGGGGGCGTGGCATTCGTAATTCTCTATGTGAATGTGTGTGTGTGGAGGACGGACCAGCTCTCCTGAGGATTTTATCATTTTTTATTACATTTCTCGAGAGCGCTATGTATGCAAATGAAGTCGAAAGTTTCGCTTTGTATAGTTGCTAGTTGCTTTTGTTGTTGGCGGATGAGTAGGGGAGCTCCAGAGTTCCCGAGTTGTAGAGCTGGTGATAAAGGCAAGCTTGTTTGGGAAGGCGTGAAGGGGAGCGATTCCACTCATTGGCTTTGGATACTCTTTTGTTCGGTTGATGTATACACAGCTTCGAAGGGAAAGTTATTGATGCAGAGACCAGCAAAAGGGCCAGTTAAATTTTTGAAGAATATTTATGGGTTTTACACATTTATCAGGATAAAAGAGAAAGCATTTATAAGAAAATATAAATATTGTTAAGTTTGGAAATAATTAAAATTTTAAAAGGGAATATTCGAGTTTTTCTAGATAATATTTTAAACATTTTTTGCCCCTAAAATTTTAATTTTAAAATTTAAAAATCAATATAAACCCAATAACAGTTGTAATTAGGAAACATTTCTATATAGACTCAAGTTATTTTGAAAAAATATATAAAACAAAATGAAACCAATCTTTGATCTAAGTTAGAACTTAAACCTCCATCCCTGTAAACCTTGTTAATTAGCAACATTTTATTTGGGCAATATTCACTCCCTGACATTCCCATAACATTCTAATTTGAAGTTTATCCATCTCAGTGTCCAAGTTAGTCGTTGTGTTACTTTCCATTGCCCCTCGATTTCCCTCCAACTTTTCGGCAAGTTCTTTTATTTGTCCATCCGAGGGGAAGCCCTCAAATTTGTGGACCTTCTTCGTGCCGCCTTTTTTTAATGAGCTTCATTTTCAGAGTTTTTCCTTCGGTCGTTTTATATTTTTTTTAGTTGCTGCTTCTTGTTTTCTGGCTTGTTATGGGCTGTGTGTGATTTTGCCGGCTCATTCGCATTGCGTGTATTTAATTTTGTTCGTCCCTTTTGGAGCGTTTCCCGGCAATTTTCACCAAGTTCATTCAAAA